AACCCTAAACCCCAAACTGTAAACCCCAAGCCCCAAACCGTAAACCCTAAACCCTCCCCGAACCCTCAACCCTACATCCCAAACCGTAAACCCTAAACCTTCCCCAAACCCTCAACCCTAAATCCCAACCTCAAACACTGAACCTCCTTCGTCAGGCATCGAGGCTTGGGAACGCATCTCGGCCCGAAGGTTGGTATCCAGGTTTGAAGGTTGGCATGTTATATGGGTGGTTGTCAAAATTAGGGTTGGTTTTATGGGGTACCCTAAATAATAGGTGCCGTACCATAATAAGGACCCAAAAGGGACCATAATTTTGACAACTACCCATATGAAAGTCTAGGTTCCCCCAGTAGTAGTACCCTCTTGACCTTGTTCTTTGTGGGTTCCCTTCATAAAACCCAAGAGTAGGGAGAAGGGTACTCTTATTATTTAGGGGCTACCGGGGGGGACTAGAAGTAGAGTTTATCATGATATAGCATATCATAGTATCGTACGTTGTGTTTATGGCACCGGATATTGAAGCTCGGGAACAGAAGGACGTTTAGAACCTGGGGCGAACTCTATCGTTTCAGAGTGTTCGGTGGCCCGAAGCCACCCGCAATCCAGGGCTTCAGACCCTGTATAGCGTTCCCCCACAGTAACCCTTGTAGCATTAGAGCACCCTAACCGTATGCCTGGTAGTAAGCCCCCCCTAGCAGCCTTGAAAGCTTCACAAGAACTCTTATTGAACCTTGCACCTTGACTCCAAGGGACCGAAACCGAAATGCCCCGGCCTAAGCCCTAAACCCCTAAACCCGAAGCCCCAGCCCCTCCCACCCAGGTGGAGTTCCATCCCGAGGTCCTTTCTCTCGATCCACACGGCGGTTGGTGCTTAGGTTTTTAGGGTTGTATAAGGAGGGCTCATACACGTAGGACTAGTAAGGAATAGCAGCATTTGTAGCAATGGTCGTAGTAATTGTAGGTGAAAAAGAATCATGACTACAAGAGTGAGGCTGCTAATCATCTTGGGTATCCGGGGTTCGGAGTTGAGGGCCTTGTGGATGAATTGAGAGTCCTTGGTGTGGCGTAGACTTTGCGAACACAACCGTGCGACCAACCGTAGATGCAACAACGATGTAGATGACACTGCGACAAAGCACGATGCCCAACGAAGTGCCGGTGGCTGGAACCGAGACAATAGCAGGTGGCACACGCCTGCATGGGGTAAATGAGGCAGCCTATTTAGCATCAAATCATACTCACACAAGCAATGCAGCTGAGAGGCCTACAGAACATCACCGAAATGGATGACAGTTGTGTGAACAGAACAAAAACGAATGCAAGAGTCGTTGAACAGGAGCATTCAGAACTCGTGATGGAAAACCCGTGCGAAGCTGGGTGGACAAATAATGTGTACGCCCCGAAAAGACCCTTTGCATCAAGCAAGCTACCAGCCAGATTCGGCACAAACTTTCCGCATCAGGCAAACTTGGTTGTTTCTATACGAGACTGTTGACATGGAAAGCATACATGTTGACTACCCCTTATCCCAAAGCAAGCAGGCAAAACCCTTTACATCATATGAGAACTCAGTCAACTGACATGTTGAAAGCCACCCCACCTGCCGACATCATGCCAAGAGAGGCAGAAGACTAGGACAAACAATTTGAACAATGGCTACGGCTCAAGGCTCGAGCTTTCAGCACGTGGGGACTTCCTGCTTCCTTCTTCACCTAGCAAGCATGCTTCGCGCACTCTTGGTGGCGTCTTCTCTGTGGCTCTCCCATGCCATGCCAAACACCACAGGCAAGATTTGCCAGTGGGGCTGCTACGATGAAGAGGACGAAGCTTGCCATCCAGGGCTTACCAACATGCAGTGCGCGGAGATCTACGGGCACGTGGAGTGGATCCAGGTGTGCGACTGCGTGGACGAGGCGACGGGCTTGCGTGACAACATCACGGTCGCGGCGCCGAGGTTGGCGCCCGCAAATCTGTACTTCTCGGTGCCTGCCTTCGTCGTCCTCTTCCGTGAGAGCTTGGAGGTGGTGATTGTCCTTGCCATCATCATGCAATTCCTGACGAAGATGAAGAACGACGGCCTTCTTGAGGTGGGCCTCTTCCTACATCCCTACAAC